TAGTTGCAAATTCCGTTCAACCATCACTTCTTCCTTTACTATTCGATTTACAGGGTAAATCAGTGTGGACCTTGAGCAGCTCACGTGCGAATATACACAGATTCAGTGAATCAGTTTTACAGTCTGCAATTGAAATTAGAATCAGAAAATTAAACTTTGCGAGCAAGTGTAGCCTAGCTGGTCGTTTAATCCACGTGACTATTCGAAATCGCAGGCACTATTCGAAATTACATGACAACGTTTCCATTCCACGTGAACACCGTTGTGGCGAGCAATCTCAACGCTGTCCGTCGCTCGTCGGCAGATTAGTTTCAACGTACATTTCGTCGATCGGGACCATATTCCGTGGTCATTAACTTATCCATTCTTACATGTCGGAAACGTTTTTACCACGCGTACACCGATATGCACGCGCACGTATGGCAACACACATGTACACGAACACGATGCCAGTAGATCCACAATAAACTGCGACATATATATGTGTGTGTGCGTGTGTATATATATATATATATATATATATACACACATAACAAATAATATCGCGGTACTGCCGAGACGTTGGTCAAGAGCACAACGACAGCATGACATGCTTGTTAGTAACTTCCTTCGACCGACGGTCAAAACAAAACGGACGCACTGTGACCAAAGATCGTGCGCCCTTGTGCGAACGACCAACAAAATGCTGGCCAATTCCCGGCCTGTGGATTCGAGCAGACAAAAACAATGTCATACATACGGGGTAAAAGCGCAGGAAAAAAGAGAGACGGTGGAACAGACGAGAGAGAAAGAAAGAAAGAGATAGAGAAAGGAAGAGAGTTTGCTCTGGAGGCACGACGAGAGAGAGCTCTCGGTAGCAGGCACGCTTACCTCTTGGTGGCGTCGAGCAATGCGCCCTGGAAGCACTTGGCACCGTGAACGAAGGACACGACGATGATGTCCGGTAGCGCGGACTCGACGGTCACGAGGATCTTGTCGCCCCTGGCGAGTGTGAGCGCGGACAGGGCCACCGTGTCCGCCGCCATCTTGGCTCGTTAGAATTATTGCTCCTCGCCGTGTCGAGACCCGTCGTCTCTCTCTCAGCGGATGACGTGAGGAGCGGCTGGGGCTGCCTCACTCTCCTCCGTGTACACGGAGGCCATGGGCTCTGCGAGGCATGCTTGGGGTGGGGGAGACAGGAGAGCAGTCTCGGCCTGCTTGCTTGCTCGCTTGCACGCTCGTTCGCTCGCTTGCTTTCCTAGCAGCCACCACCGCCAGCCGCACCACATTTCATGTTCGTGCACAGCTGGGCACCCGTGGCTTCACTGCGCATGCGCCACTCGCCTCTCTCCCACCATCCGCGAGCGCTCGCACTGCTGTACCACCGCACTGCGGAACCACGATTTTCTGATTCAAATTAGAAACATCATTTTTCTTTATTAGAAATTTATTTGTTGGAAATATTATTTAAAAAGTCAATATTTGGAAAATCCGAAATATTAATAATTGTTCTTGGTAATTTAATGAAGCATGTTAGATACCATCGCCATATATTCAGACACCATTACATTAAATATTAAATATTTATCAATTTGTGCAATATATTATTACTTTGTATTTTTGGACGAAAATTATTAATTTATTACTAAGGAAATAAAAATGACGCTATTGCAAGTTTGATGATTTACTAACGTTATGATATATATAATCAATATAATAACGGTTAAAATTATAACGAAGTTTTAATTCCAATTTTTTTTAACTTCATAATTTCTTAAGAAGTTACGCACAAATACATAAGAAATAAATAATACAAATATGTTTATTCAGTAATTGTAATATAATTTTTTCAAACGTTAGAAATGAATTTGAAAACGAACGATGTTGTTAATAGTATCGTCATACGGCCCTGTACTATTTTGCTTCAGGACAGTAAAAAGTATTCACGGTGCCCTTCTCCTGCAACGAGCAAACCCCATAGAGAGAGCATGGTGTGTGTTAAGAAATACAATTTTTTCTTTCGAAAGTCTGTCACTTATTTTTTAATGAAACATGTGTCTCTCCATATGATTCATCCCATCCAGTTAACGAAATTTTAGCTAGCTGGTTTTGCGTCTTTTTGTCTTTTACATGCCATATGCCCGGCCTAGATACACCACTATACACACATACTTTTCGTATGCATTCTTTTTCCATAATATAGTGGAGACAGCTTGGAAGAATGAACTACTAACCATTACTCCCCATAGAAACATTTTCCATATTTAATGATCATGCCTGCTGGATTGGAATAAATTTGATAAATACAATTACTTACAAATACGAGATGATAGTTGAGGAATGTTTCACAAATTGAATTTAATCAATATGCTTTTAAAAGTAATATTAACCTCGTTTTGCTGTTTAACCTATGTCATGTGTGTATGTAATTCTTCTTAACATTCAATACATATATATATGCAATATATGTATATACCTAAAAGTATGAAAAGTTGAAAAGAAAATATTACTGATAATCAATTGCTACAAGATGACAGCAGAGAAATGTCTTCCTAAGACATAAATAAAAAAAGGTAAATACTTGATAAAACTTGAGTAAGGGAATTTGACTCATAGTTAGATCACAATAATAATAAGAAATATATAATTATATATTTAAAAACTTTTACAACTTATATTTCAATAGAATAAAATTAGAATAAAATACAATTTTTATTTTTCATATAATAATAGTTTAATAAACTACAGATATACTACAAAATAAATTGGTCTTACATCAACTGGGATATTAATCTATGGATTGCTTTGATAATTTTATTTCGTTGAAGACAAAGTAAATGATACAAATACGACGAACGAAATTCCATTAATTGCAATACTTATAATACTGAACGTAGATGAGAGAAGAAGACAGGGAGAGGCAAGCGAGAGCCCAGACTGAAGAACAACTAGAAGTCAAAATTATATCTCGAATATTACGAAACAATAATTCGTAACAATTTTAGCTACAATATAATGACGCGTTGCAAACGAGGTCGAGCTCTACTTTTCACGAGCACGGAAGTATACAGCTTAGTCGGCCTAGTGCACTGAGTTTTCGTGCCGTGTTGCAGTGGCACAAAAATGATAAAAACGGACTAGCATGTACGTAACAAAGGGAACCGAAGCAAAAGAGGCAGAGAAAGAAAGAAAAGGAACGAAGAGCGGAAGCGAATGCTAACTTGTCGGAGAAAGAAAATCATGCCACAAACATTTCAGGAATTTGACAGTAGCGGCCGTGAACTTGATTTTGTTCGCTGATCCCCGCATTGTTTAAACTTCCTTTGGTCTGTCGTCTTGACTCCGTAGCTTTAACAAAAGAATCCTGCATATATAAGAGCAGAACAGCTTGAAAAAGTTGGTTCGACAAAAATGGGGAATGTGACATCGGGAACGAGACATAATTCGAAAGCTAGCTAATATGATTTAATGAGCTTTATCTGCAACGGGCAATACTTTATCGAACATATGTAATAAACAATTCGAATCGCGACGTAATAGGTAAATGAAGTCCATTCGAGCAGACCCACGTATACATCTTTGATATTAGCTCACTACCACTGTCAATATTATTGCGCAACTCAGAACGCTCCATATTGAGCGTTTAGGGCGTTCTTCAAACTGATACTGAAATTGAAAAATGTTACACTTTGATTTGCTCTTGTAAAAATAAACGATCTTATGGTACAAAGATACAAAGGGCAAGTTGGTAAGAAGCAAGTAACAGTTGTAGCTTCGAATAGCACTTTTTGGAAGATCTTGATGTCTGAATTTTTAAATGTAAGTGTTTGTGTTAATTGAACTATTCATAGGCAACGTCGTATGGATGACACCATTTCAGGCAATGTGTTCTAGAAACCTCCTTCACATGTGGTAAACTCCAAAATTTGATTACACCTACAAGAAACATGCCGGCTACAATTATATTTACGTATTCTATTATCTTGTTATAATCTTATATTAGTCTTAAAACTTGATGTTATTATTTATTATCAGCTAAAAAAACAAAGTGTTTAGTAAAATAACAAAATAATTTTTATACCAATTGTATAATACTAATGCAAATAATAATTGATCACTTAATTCAATTAAGTTACATATTCACAATTAACATAGATATTCAACGTAGCAAATGTAAAAACGTGATGTAGTATAAAGCTGTAATATGAAATCTATCATAGTTGTGTGATATAACTTTTACACTTTCAATAACGCAAAGAGCAAGTTCACGAAATCTATTTCAATATAAATTAACGCAATACACGTACGAAATTATAAATTGAAATATATACAATATAAACTATAGAAAGCCACAACATTTGAATTATGTGTACATAAAAAATGATTGTATACGTTATATTATTTGTGAAGCATATTTCTTTGTATATCAAGAGAAATTAAATTATACTGAATGCAACTATTGCATGAAAGACTCAAAAAAATAAATTGTAATTTTATTATTTTATACAATATGCACAAATAGTCTTAACCAAATTGACAAATAATTGTCATCTTTACATTCAG